GTATCCCAATAGTTATATCGTAGCAATAAAATTAAAGTCCATTAATCCAGAATTCCCAGTCAGAGCTCTTTGTCTGCCTAAAGAGTCGAATAAAATAAAGATGTTTCACTTTGCTATTTGTGTTTGGTGGTCGTGATATAGCTGTAATGCTGCTAGCGTATAAGATACTTACACACTAACTCACTTACTTAATGCATAATAATCAAATTTATTATTTATAACATTATTTGTTCACATTTTATCTTTAAGGACTGCTCGGGAAAAGGTGCACTGCACAAACTAAGTATATGCAACTTTCACATTATGATCAATCATCTGAATCAGTATTTATGTATGTCAATTCAGCATGTCTCCCAAATACTCACAGCGCTTGTGAACCATGCGGTCAGTGTGCTGGTGGTGTTCCTTGTGACAAGATCTCAGGGCTCTGCTCAGTTGGATGCCAAGAAGGCTGGAGTGGGTCTCTGTGTAAAACACGTAAGTAAACTAAATATTTAAGTGATTTGTATTTTCGTTTAGTTAAAGTCTTCAAATAAAAAAAATGTATTCAATTTCAAATTCAAATAACTAAATTCTACCATGTCATAATGTAACATGCATTTATAAACAGTGGACTTGGGAATGACCATTTGAAACATCAAATTTAAAAAGAACAGAGATTTGACATATCCTTGTTAAAAGTATAGAACGTGTTGATGATATCAAAAGAAAATGTAAGGGTTCTTTACGCTATGCTTTTGATAAATAATCTATCTATTTGAAGCGTGCACACCTGGAACACACGGAGCAGGATGTCTATCACTTTGCTCCCACTGCAAAACAGGAAGTGTGTGTCATCAGGTGACTGGTCAATGCCCGGAAGGTTGTCAACAGGGATGGAGAGGCGCTAAATGCGACGAGGGTACGTTCACTCAAAACAGTCATTGGTATTACTGAGGGAAGGGGAAACAGAAGACGACCATGGGACCCGTTATTCCACCCGCCTCCATATTCTTCCGGAAATATAACACTGTTCGTCGAAATGTAAAAGAATGCTCTTGATCAGGATACCTCGAGTGAAAATAAAATTGTATAATATATGTTGTGTCTGAAATCATCCTGTCAATTCGTATTTCTATTTTGAGAAGCAATCAAATATTTGTGAACAGGAAAGGATATTGAATAGCAGTTCAGTAATTAACAGTTCCACGTATATGATTATTCTTTAGGGTTCACCTACAACTTGACCACTGACCATTTTGTTTTTAAAACCATCTGAACATAAACTATAGGAAAACATATCAAATTTATACCCTCCATGTCCCTTAAAAGACTTGAAGAGGCGACTGACGGGATCGGGTGGTCAGGCTCGCTGACTTGATCGATGCATGTCATGGATCCCAGTTGCGTGGATCGATGCTCATGAAATGACTGGATTGTCTAGTCCAGACCGTCGTCATATAGCTGAAATATTACTGGGTGCGGTGTTAAACAACAAAACCACTACAAAATATTCGGAAAATACATTTAAGAATCAAGCAGTTGCCGCCAAATACATCTTTATGAGGAAGTTGATAAAAGACGTATTCAGAATCAATTTCTTATACTTTTGATAGGTAATAAATGATATGTTATCTCTCAGGTTAATAGCTTCACGGATAATTACGTTTTTGTGTGATCTTGCCCTTACAGTAATAGAGAATGCAGATTTTAATACGTTCTTTCATGGCAAGGAATTTAGGATGTATCAATTTCCTTCTTGCTCTTGGCATTCCAGGTGTTGGTGAAACCGGGGATGAGACAAACAACACATCTCTTCTAAGTAAGAGATTTATAAACACTTATGTTTACATCGTCCGAGTTCATCCAACCTTTAAATGTAACCAGTCTTCAAATAAAAACATGTTTTCTCGGGGGAAATGTAACGAATGTATTACAAAGTAAATGACATTGTGTGGTTATAAGCAGATAAGATTAAGTGACAGAGACATAATTGAACGTCACAATTTATTGGCCATTTCATTCAAAAAAGTATCACCAATGAGCATATTTGTATCTCATTACAAGTAAAGATGTGAAGGTATTCATATCAATCCCACGAGCTTCCAACGAACCATGCATTAACCAAAACACGACCATTATTTCAGTTGGAGTTATTGGAGCGTCAGCTGGGGTTGTTGTCCTACTTGTAATCATCGCCATAATTGTTGCCACAGTCGTATTTGCCAGGTAATGTCATGTGACCTTCTCATCGTATGTACATTAACAGCACTTGTTTAAAGTTCAACATGAAATACCTTTGAATGTGATTAACACGTGTTTTGTCAAAAATGAAAGCAAATGTCATCTTAGTCTAGTAGAAATTGCATTGGACTTGAACATTTCTGATAACTGGCCAATTTTTTGTTTAAACTCACCAGAAAGGGTGTTACTTACTGGTCACCATAGAATAAACCCAAAGAAAATAAAGATTGGACAAGTATATTTCTTTTGCACAATTTTGGAGGTGGGGTCTGTTGTCTTTTCACACAAACGACAGCAGGCTGTTGTCATGGCGAGAAAGTACATGTTAAAATATGCTTTTGTCTTCATTCTTATCAGTATTTTCATGTCTCAAAAAGCCTTATTTGATTAAATACAAATTATTTTTGATCATTTAGTCGTTGTCGGCCATCTTGAATTCAAGATGGCCGCCATCTTGAATATTGAGCTGGACTGTCGTTCCCACTTTTCCTGTATACCTACAACCTTTTCTATTGCATAAAGGAGGTAACTGTACACATCTTTCATTGGGTGGTGAGCTTGCAAGCGTGTGCATTGATTTTCAGGGGGTCAAAATTGCATTAATTAAAGGGACAATGCATAACTTGGCAAAATTGGCTGTAACATATTTGTTATTAAGTTATCAAACTATCCAAACTATGTTTTCGATAACAGGCAATATGTTAGGTTATTTGAATTTGGCAAATATTTTGTTTCATTTTAAATGTTATTCTAATTCACAGTCAAAACATTGATAAAAATGATGTTTTTTTTACTTCATTTTCAAAACCTTGTGAGAAGGTAAAACACTGATACGATTGAATTGTGATAATAAAACCACTATAACTGTATATCACAGAGTGCCTGCTCTATTCCATACAGAAAACAAAATAAAAATATATCATATTGCGGCTGAGATATTGTACAAAATGTCACCCCACACCCCAAAGAACAATTTTGATGAAAACTGCTTATTGAGAAGGTGATGATAATTGTAGCAATGCTTAAAAACATCAAAATAGTAGGTCATAAAGGCACCCAATCGCCGGCACACAAAGTCAGCGATCTAACCCACAACAATTAAAGTCTGACAACTGGTAGTCTAGATCACGTACCTTGTGTACCCCTCTGACAAGTGTTAATTGGCAGGGCTCAAATGGCAGAAAGCTATGAACACACAATGTCATTTAGAAAGTGGTCAAATGTAACAAATGTTATATTTGGGATATACCTTTCTCAGTAAAGTACAGATTCTCGAACATTTTAGGGTTGAGTCCCGTCCGGGATTCGGTCCGACACTGCCAGAGTGAGGCACCTAATCGCCAGCACACAAAGTCAACGATCTAACCCACTCAGCCACCGAGTCTTCCTCAAAAATGAAAGTCTGACTTCTGGTAGTCTAGATCACGTACTTTGTGTACCCCTCTGACAAGTGTAAATTGGCACGGCTCCAATGGCCGAAAGCATTTTTGTGGAAACCTCGTTGGCTGAGTGTGGCTGAGTGGGTTAGATTGCTGATTTACTTCATGACAAATCTGTTCTTTTATGCACAGCGTCAACAAAAAGTTCACAAATTGTATATGAATTAATTACAATAACATTAAGAAGGGATATCATGTACACCGTGTCTCGTGTTGATTGCGTATTATCGCACCTCGATCGTGTGGATCGTTGCTGACAATATCAATCACTGATTTGCCTGGTAATGGCCTGATTATGTACGCGCAGCCGTCATACACGTGCAATATTGTTTAGTGTGGCGTTGAACAACAAACAAGCTTTAATATTCAAATTTAAGGTGTTACGATAAAAGGAAGAATTACACTCTTATCAACTAATGTAAGGGGATATAGCGGAGTACAAACTATGTGCTGGATATTACATTGATAGAGCTTTGGTATAGTTCGTATTTAGCTGATTACATTGTGGTTTGATGTAGGGTTTAATAAACCAGCATGTATGTACGTTACCCATTCATTAACATTTTCTGATAGTATTTGATGCTGATCGTCGTTTGAATCTTATATATCTTTGTGTTTATTATTTGTGGTATACCAACCAATAAACGCTTGGGAATGTTCATTGAAGAATCGATCGGAATCGGATCTGACATAACACAGAGGTGTGTGTGTAGGGGTATCTTATAGAACCATATAAACACCAAATATATATTATTTATAGCACCTAAATCCGTTTTAAATATATTACCACTTCCCTAATTTTTATATTTATAATCCATCTACACAAATCCACCTGTTAATATGCTAATTGAGCAAAGATAAACATTATTGTTTAAGCACTAGTTTTGGAAGTGTATTGTCTCTATATATGTCAATGCAAGCTGGTGTCCATTAGATTTATACATACAGAATCGAGCATGCTCTTTCTTCCAAAATTTCAAAGAGCGTCATACGAGTCTTGCTCAGAGGTTATTTCATCAAGGGTACACCATTCAAAGCCATTTTAAGGCTTTAAGGAGTGTCATATGGAGGACATTTCCAAATTTGACGCATTCCCTATTTTTATTTTTTGACTTGTACCATAAATATAGTTCCGTGTTTGTTCTGTTGAACATTTCACTTGTCTTTGCATTTTTATCTTTTTATGTTATCGCGAATATCTAGACTCATTACCAATTGATAGTGATTCATAAAAACAGAGTCGATTATGATGTAGTCGGAATAGTACGACGGCGTCTACCTTTAACAGATATGTCTTATGTTTATGGAAATGTTTTATCTTGGTTTTATCTTTAACAGGCGAAAGCGACGTACTCGACAGCAGAGCATCGATCAATACGACACAGCCGATATGGCCAGGCGGCCGAAGATCTTCCGCGCGGCCACAGACCATTGCCCTGCCTACTAAAGCACTATGGGACAAATCCCTGCTCCACCCTCCCGTGCTTATCCTTCCCAAGCTGATGAGTGCATTCAAATGCGGTACATGAGTAACCCCACTGAACAGTCAACTGAGGAGCACGATGACCATTTGTATGAATCGCCAGTTTTTTAGGCAGACATGAGGAACTGGGAACAGGTTTCCTCAAGAACTCACCATTGGGTGACACATACTGATTTTAAGGTCCTTATTTTTTATTACACTTATCACATTTCTTGTACATTTCCTGATCTTATAACAGACTTAAGGGAACCTCTGCACGGACTGATGAGTTTTTACAACTACGTTGTAGATCATTAGCATTGTGAATGTTACTGACATTATTAGCAACAATGGGGAAATTCAGTAATGGGGACATATTCAGAGGTATTCGAATTGTTTCCTCTTGGCACACGATCTTCACATGACTACTGACTTGAGTCAAAGGAGGTTCATACAGAAATCCTTCTCCTTATAATCGGATAATCGCGAAATAGTAGTTGGAACGTTATGTTAAAACTAGTCATGGAAATATATTGCCCTATGTCAATTTTGTTCTTATATGTGTATATATAATATTGTTTCTATCATTAACGTGTACATTATTACATACAGTGCCTTATTTCACCTTTCAAAACAACACGCCTTTGTGTGATTTCTTCAAAGCCTCAGGGAAAGCTTTCAAAATGTTTTGTGGTAGTTATGTGGAGTACATTTCCAAATTTGACGCATCAGTGTCAAATATGATATCCAGTGCAATTTCTGATTTTGATTTGTACAATATGTTCGTTCGCTTTTCTCAGGTTGACTTCCCTTTGAACGTATTTGTAAATGGTGCCACCGGTGGGCCAGAATACGCCCACCTTTTCGCGAACACCTAGTATCATCACTATTTGATAGTTATTAATATTCACATGCTCATGATGCAGTCGGAATCGTACAATCGACTCTTGGCAGAGATTTCTTTTGAATATGGAAAGGGTTTTGTCGCTTTGATTTATTGCAAATTCGATTGTGGTCAATGTTCATTGAGAAATACATGCTGATAATTCAGAATTGTAATATACCATATTTGAATTTGAATGTAAATATTATAATAAAAAAACTATGAAAATAGGACAGTTGTTATTTGAGTAGGCTTTGCTATCATTTTCAAGTACAATGACTCCTATGTATTTGGAAAATGGAAAATGTTTCATTCTGTATTTTCGTTTTTCATAGAATGACTACAGCGAAATAAATTCATAAATTTTTTAACATTCCATATACATTCCATATGTTCCATAACATATCATAACCATTTTTTAAAAATAACTGGCAAGTTGTCTTGCCGACTCAATTTGTGTTCCTACCCGTGGAGAACAGGGTTTGAAAAGGTCTTCAGCAACCCATGCTTGCCGTAAAAGGCGCCTGTGCCTGTGGTAAGAGGCTACTAACGGGATCGGGTGGTCAGGCTCGCTGACTTGGTTGATGCATGTCATCGTATCCCAATTGCGCAGATCGATGCTCATGATGTCAATCACTGGGTCGTCTGGTCCAGACTAGACTATTTACAGACCGCCGTCGTATAGCTGGAATATTGCTGATTGCAGCGTTCAGTGTTCCAGTTACTGGAGGAAGTGTGGGTACTAGCATGTCTTAAGTAGACTTCAGAAACATGACATATATGCACTGATTGCTAGTCTGTTACCATTAGGTTATTGTTTATCATTTAGTGTCACCTTATTTTGGGAACAAACAGACTCAGACATGTACAGTATACCGTTTTAAAAATAAGTATGTAATACAATATTATAGATATCAAATTTCATCAACAAATATTCGGAAGCCATGAATGAATAAAGGAAACTTGAAATGATATAAAATAATTACACATGTTATAGTTAGTTGTCTGCATTGAGGCTGTAAGGGCCGATGGCCTACATCCAAGCTGAAGTAAATTTAAAGAAGATGAATTATACATAAACGACACGGATGTAGTGATGAGGAACCGTTGTCACCATATATTACATGAGCTATCATTTTGAAGAATGTGTTTTTTCCATAAAGCGCTCCTTCAAGGGTATATAGGGGCGGTCGGGTAGCACAGTGGTTAAAGCGTTCGCTCGTCACGCAGTAGACCCGGGTTCGATTTCCGACATGGGTACAATGTGTGATGCCCAATTCTGGTGTCCCCCGCCGTGATATTGCTGGAATATTGCTAAAAGCGGCGTACAACCATAATTTTGGGCAATTATGCAATGTATGCTGGCAATAAAAATTACAGTATCAACGTTCAACAAAATACGTTTCTATACACGGAAAAGTGCAATTGCTCTCAATGAAGTATAATTCCAGCAGGGGGCACGGGTGGCCCAGTCGTCTAAGGCGCCGCGATTCGCTGTGCAAAGTTGCGTCCCTTGGGCCAGAAACCTATGATTGTGGTTTCGAATCCCGGTTCGCCCCGATTATGTTTCTAGGTTTGTCAGCACCATACCCGTGCTCATGGGTTTCACCGAAGTGGTAAACGTCTAACACCTGTATCACTTTGGGCTTTCCTCTCACATAAAGCTGACACGCCGTGATATAACTGGAATACTGTTAAAAGCGGCGTTAAACCCAACTCACTCACTCACTCACTAATTCCCGCAATACTTTTTTAAAACTGTTACGATCCCATTACTTCCGTGTGGGAAATGAAGATAAGTACAGACGGAACATATTACCTAATGAAAATTTACAATTGTCAAAAAAACATCACAATTTAATGGGATTGACACTGACACAATTCAAACACTAATTCGAATAACCACACACACGTCTTAAATTTGCAAGATAATATATGGGCATCGTGTCTTTAGTTTAATGGCTTTGTTTGCGAGTAAAGTGACTTTAGAGAAGACCATGTAATGCAGACTTTTGTATGGTTGGACGTGCTTTCCCCTTGGACACCAATTGTGCATTCATGATGTCCGATGCAATTCCCAATATTGACTTGAACCATATGTGCCCGTGCCTCTTTTAGGTGAACAATTGACGGTGCTATGTTTTGATATGTTTTGTTGTGACGGGTTGACCGGTTGGGCAGGCTACGCTCAACTTTTCGCAACTTTCCTAGTATCATCACTTTTTGATAGTGATTTATAAACACATGCTCATGATGTAGTCGGAATCGTACAATCGACTGTTTTTTGGCAGAAATTTTAGTCGCTTTTATACATTTGCATCTCCTTTTCAACATGCATTGTTGAATTAGTTTCTTGATTTTTCTTCTAAGGGATCTGTTTCAGGATTGTTACGTGTAGACTTCCAAATTTATATAATAAGTTAACCCAGAATATACGTAAATAAAATCAGTATAAAACAAACAACAAAGAAATGGTATACCATTAAAAATTGTATTGTAATATTAATTAGGTGTACAAATCAATACAAAGTACTGCACAGCAATTACATTGGTAGTACACAGTAGAGTGGCAGTACAAAATCCAATGGCAGAAGAACTACAGCGGCAGTATAAAATATAATAGCAGTCATATGGTTATAATATTCACCTAGCAGTAACAGTGGTCAAGCTTTCAAAATAGGCTGGATATCCAGGGTGAAATCAAATATCTTCACACAACCGCTGGTGTTGATGTAAACTGATATCAGATAGGCACGCTCTTGACCACAGTATATAGTCAAAATACCGTCCAAAATGTTAAATACAGTGCTAGATGAGTCTACCTGTTTCAAGATTCAAGATTATACTTGATTCCAAAAGCATATAAATATATATAACTTCCACACCACTGCTAACATTAGCTAGCACTATGTCAAAACACAATGCCATGAACTTCAACAGAATCTAAACAGAAACAATGTAATTCAGTTACAACATTCTTTAAAAAATTAAAACACTGCAAAATTATAGAATAAAATATAAACCAACAAGGCCAAAGAATAAGCAGTCTCGTTTATACAGAAAAAAACCCCGATTATATTAGGCATAAAGGGCTAAACAGTTGTAACAAATATATACACGGATCAGTGAAAATCAGTGATCGCACCAGATGCTCGCAAAAAGGGTAAGCCCTACCCATATGTGGAATACGTTTGTTTCCTACGCCCTCTCCTTCAATGTATAAAGTGACAAAGTTTTGAATTTTGAACAGCGATAATGACATGATGTTACCCTGAAATCTTATATGTACAAGCATGGTACTCATTACCAATGCGGCTTTAAACAACGAACAAATCCTTCACTACAATCCTTCAAGCCCTGTCGGGGGAGGTCGCGAGGGGAGATTTTTGTCGAGGCCTTCAACTCTCGCGCGCTATTTACATTGTATCCTCTGCTTTTCTAATTCTGCCTGGTTTCGGTCGCATGTTCCGGTTCGCAATTTTACATTAACACTAAAAGTACTATATTGGACTAAAATGTATTTTTACGAGGTAAGGAGACATGAGTTTCACATCTATTTTGCTCTTTACTGTTTCCGTAATTTCTCCATACTTTATCTTTCACATCAACTTTTAATCAATACATTTGCTAATTTTTGTAAAATTCATTTGCGCACTATGATTATGTTGTATAACTACAAATTAAGTTAAACGAAATATAATAGGGCGCTTTATAGCTAAGGGAATTTGGGAGTATAAACATGTCCATGGCATTAGCGTCGGCGTTTGGTAAAGGTCGGTGCTAAATTAGAACCGGGTCTTGTAAGAACCTTACTGTTTGATGGATGCTGCGTCATGTACAGTGAAATATGTCCTGAGTAGTAGGTATACTGGCTATCGCCCGTACAACCGTCTAAATATCACATTTTACACTATCGCATAGCAACAGCAAGTCCCATGTTACTGAAACTTTATCATAAATGACCCTTGTATTGGTGTCTCTAAAACGTGTCATAATATTAAACATACCCCCTGACTTTTTGGAACAGTCATATTGAATGTCATGTCGTGGAGCGTTGTCAGTCGCCGTAAGTCGTCGTCATCTGTTCTGAACTAAAGGCCTAAGGCTCCAAGGTATAACATCTCAGCAAAGGTGTCTAAAACTTCATTTGTGAATTCTGATCTGAACACTGGCACAATAAAAGCTGTATTAATTATTTTCTCTCTCCATTTCTCTGCTATTTTGCATATACATATATTTTATATACGGCAAATTCAAGGTATATGTAATATGATAAATTTATGATATTGTTTGAGCGTATTTCGCTTTTTGACCTCATCGTGGTATTTTACTTTAACATACACCCTTGAATACACTTCACCAAAGTCATATATTGTGTCCATCACTGACAGCACTGATATATTTCCAGTATATTATATTATTAGCCATTGTGGTCCAGGTTATTTCCCTTTTATGTAATTTTCTAAAGAAGGTTTGACCCCGTGGTATTATCATAACATTTACATACAGTTTAGGATATATGAAATGTGGAAGTGACAAATATCTTACACATTGTTCAATTGTTAGCAGCTTCGTTATGATCAGTCGTGATTTAGTGCACCAACACTATCAAGTTAGATATCATATATCTAATTCTATTGGGGTTGACAAAGCATGACTTATTAACAGGGCAAATCTATGATCCGTCCTAACGATTATAGGTTTCTGGCCCACCGATCGAAGGGAAGCAACTCAGCACAGCGAATTGCAGCGCCTTAGATGACTGGGCCACTTGTGCTCCCTCATAATGATGATAATACCTGCTACACAGGCAGTTGTTGGATGTTTTACTTGCGATTCTAGACAACTTTCTACACAAAAGTAAATGTAAAATTATATACATTAGTACAGAGAGCAAAGAAGAAAGAAGCACATTCTGTATACAAAACTGTAGGGTAAACTACAGAGAACACAGAGAATCCATTGGATGAACCGAATGATTATACGATAGAAATGTTTATAAATGATAACAAATGGGGAGGTTGTGTGACATTTCAATTTCGTTAAGAAAGGATGTCTTTATATTGCATGTATATGCGTAGTAACTTGGTTACGCTGCTCCTGATCTGAGGTTAGTTGATTCCTGGTATGCGTAGAACAGTCAGTTTCAGGTATCAAGGATGTTAGTCGGTCGAAGGTGTGACGGATGTATCATTAATAGGGATGCAAATTAGCAAATCTAGGATGTGTCCAAGAAGATAAGATCTACTATTTGTCGAATTTGATCGCAATAAGGTCATTTAGCTGAAATATATATCATGATCTTACAGTTTTGTACTCGGTAAACGTGGAAAAGGTTTGAATGCTTGGTGTCACGTAAAGGACACATCAAGTAGCCTAGGGTGGGAACTCGTTTACAATTTACCCTTTTGGTATATCGGTGTCCGGAATTTATGTATATTTTATACATATATATATGAAATCAAAACAACCTCTCGAAAAGCATATGTGGTTTGGAAGCATGCCAAGCCGGAAATAGAAAATGATTTTTTATCAAGGGCATGCAACAATACCGTGTATGTTTCACAGCATCAACCAAGACTTGTTCTTGCATTTAATTTTCAACAAAACATAGTCCATACACAAAACGCAATTATGATATCTATCTCAGCTGACAACATCCTGGTTTGGTGAAAAGAGCATCAGCCCGGAGAGCGGAAAGTCGGTGGCTCGATCTCCCGGTCTAACTGCATTGAATAATTGTCCTTGTGGTTACTTTGACTGGTGTTCGACATTACGGATATTAAACCACGACTGGTCTGCTTAGAAGCAGTGTGTGGGTAGGGTCTCTATGTTAAACTGCGGCATGGTATCTCAGTGTACGAGCACTATGAAACCGACATACATGTAAGTCCGGACGGCCGATTTATAGTGCTAGCACACTGAGATACTATGCCGCAGTTTAACATGAATACCCCACTCAGACACAGTATATTGACTCCGAGCCGACCAGTCCTTGTTTTAGCCCCTTAATGCCGAGCGCCAGACAGGGTAACAACAAGTACCATCTTTTAACGTCTTTTGGTATACTTATTCTAAGAAACCGACATACATGTAAGTCCGGACGGGTACGATCAGTCACACACAAGCACGTCGTTAAATAAGTGCAAATATCCTGAACTTGTCATTTACCCGGAAGACGCCTCCTCACATCAATAAACTGCTGGTTGAACAAAAGAATTTCTTCTTCTTTTGATGACTTTAAACGGGTCTGTTATTATGTGTACAATATGATCAGTTTCCACTGACACACTCCCGTCACCCTGCTGAGGGTCACATTGACATGTTGGTGACCGAGGTGAAGATCCACGATATGAAACTAGGGCAGAATACCCTCAGTCGAGCACACATACAAATGACCCTTGTTCAAACCGAAACTCACACATAATTTTTTTGTCGTATCCATATTTTGTCACAAGGTGGTTTATGAATAAGAATAATTTTCTTGTGAACTTTTTTTTCCAGATATATGTGCGTATTTACGTTTAATATTTTCGAATGCTTGCATAAAACGTCACGTAATCTATTCACTGTTGAAATCTGGGTTTAAATGTCATCATGGTAAAGTGGTTGAATTAATCTAAAATATTAAGTTTGCCTTAAGCCTCTTTCTTCTCAACTCCCCTTGCCATATGACTCCCGTATACAAATGTCTATGACAACAGGCTAGTCACGTCCTCAGTGGGCGTTAGCTGTATTATACGAGAGTAATCGAGGATACGATTTAGAATAAAGTCATATAGTGTTCTCTCTCGATATTCACATTTTTTTTTTATCGAAGCTGAACATCAAGCTGTTGCTGACGTATAGGATAAACATTCGGACAACACAATTGGTCTTGACCACTGAAAGTTAGGGAGGTGGTCAATAAAGCAACCGTGGGGTAACTGGGAAACAAATGTACAGTGGAGTGATTGGGAATATATTCCATCCTTTTGTTTGAAAAATACTATGAAAATAAAGACCAGCAAAACGACTAATATTATGATTTGCTTCAAGGAATCACATCATACAACATATATAGACTATTGATTGCTATTAACATTGATGTAACATTCTTTAGTAAAGCAAGGATTAAACATAACTCTGTCCCTCTTGAAGCTTGTGTCCCGATATCCATGACAGGGTTATGCAGATTGGTGGGATTTCGTCATTGTCAACTGCGTTTGTCCTGAAATGAAACACAAAACATTAGAATCATGGAATACCCTTTTGTAGGACAAATCAAACTAATCAGATGTCTCTCATGAGTCATGCATCCGTGGTCCGGATGGAGCGTCTGCCCGGATAGCGGAGGTTCGACCCCCGTCCGCCTTATACCAAAACGCGTCAAATGATACCCTGCCTCGGGCTCGACATACAGGGAATAGAAGAGGGACTTGTCAGCTCAGAGTCAGTACTATGTGGCTGAGTGTGGAATCCATGTTAAACTGCGGCATGCATATGGTATCTCAGTGGACTTGCACTGTGACGCTGGCATTAGTCTGGGTGAGTACAAGCAGTAGCGTGTGGTTCGAGCAAGCCACATGCTTCGTACTTAGAAAGCAGTGTCTTACTTAAAATTGAACGAGTCATATGGTGACCCCCCTAGGCACGCCTGCATGTATATGGTGGATCCACCCACCGTCACCTGGTGCCTGTGCTGATAAAAACGGTTATCCTAATAGCTTCGCAGGGGAATGCCTGCAGTAGGTTGTTGCCATGGTGATGTACAGCTGTTTCTTGATACAAAAATGGATTCCTTGCAGCGTTATGTAGTCTCAAAGAAATATAAATAATAGCTCCATCCATCCATCCATTAAACCATCCACCCATCCACCCAGTCATCCATTCATTCATTTACACACTGATGCATATCATTTTATATCATATCAATTCACCTCCAAGACTTCGCAATCCCCATTACCGATGTCGACACAGCTGGACCTCATTCTGTCGTATTGTCCCTCCTTGTCACTTGACTGGAGAGCCTCCATCAGGGCCTCATGGAGAAATATGTATTGATCCTGGTGAAAAATAAATATGTAGAAAATAAAACGGGGTGTAACATATGAGCATTGTGATCTGAAATATCAAACTTCAGCCAAGAAACACTCAGGAACAGATGATCTATCGAAAGAAAGGGAAATTCAAAATTTCATAATAAACTTCATTTAGGTCTGAGGGTACGGGTAGCTATAGGTCCTGTAGTACGCAGCTGAATTCGCTTTGCAAGAGCTGCTTCCTCGGGAGTACAAGACCTATGTGATCTTATGCTCGATTTTTTTTTATGTTTCTTCACTCTCTATATCAAGTATATATCCATATGACATCAGAATGCTCAGTTTTTAAATTAGATTGTGACACACGAGTAATAATTGTATGTATCAGTAGAAGGTTAATCTCCTTGACCTCTCACCTGTGTCTGTATTACATTCATTCGCTGATGTCGGAGCTGAACAATGCACGCAAAGACATCCACCGCACCTTCCGCCTTGGCTTGTTCAATCAAATAGTCCAGAGCGATCCACGTCCCAGTCCGGCCCACGCCAGCACTGAATTATACAACTTACTTACTCAGGGAATATAAACTCCACGAGCTCATGTTCTTTTCCTAGTAACCATATAATCAACAACAAGTGCTACATTGGTCAATATTAAGTTGAAGGCCACAGGTACTACATGTTCAGTTTTGTATCAAGTGAGTGAGTGAGTGAGTATGGTTTTACGCCGCTTTTAGCAATATTCCAGCAATATAACGGCGGGGAACACCAGAAATGGGCTTCACACATTGTACCCATGTCGGGAATCGAACCCGGGTCTTCGGCATGACGAGCGAACGCTTTAACCACTAGGCTACCCGACCGCCCCAGTTTTGTATCAAGACATACGAAGAGGTAGGGGTAGTCAGTTGGTTTGACCCTTTGGTTAACCCGGTTTCCATTGCCTGCATTGGTATCAACACATGAAAATAGAAAAACATTACAACAAAATCCCAAAGGATGTCATCCCTACCCACCATCAAGTTTACTACGACCTACATCGGCACTGCAGAATGCCACTCCCGTTGAGACACATGCTACGTATTTCACTGAATGCAATACATGTGGAACTCATCTGATAAAATATCCACTTATTGTCGTCAGTACCATCGGTAATTCATAAGGTATATCTGCTGGATAGAAGGAATGGAGTATATGTGATATTAAACACGTCACTGTGATAACAAGGACGACACCGAGTTAGTGTTCTCGAAATAAATGACACACGTTTTCCTGTCAGTATCATTCGACATCAGGGATTCACAAGGTAGGGACATAATGCCCCCAGATGTATGTAAAAAATTCAAGACTATGCATGACAGACCTGCAATGGACGACCGTTGGGCCTTTTCCAATCGACGGTGCGTTCTTGGCCAGTCTGTAGACGTCCACCAGCGCCCTGACATCCTCTGGTACTCCTTTGTCTGGCCATGCAGTGAAGTGGTACTGCTTCAGTGTCCTAGGTAACTCCGCCTCCTGTAAAGCACATGGGTTTTTTCATTTTATTCTTTCAGTGAAAATCTCCCATCAAATGAAGATTGTGAGATATGTTCGCTGTTCACAGTATGCGAGAGTATCACAGTGGAGAGACTGTATGTACATGTATCAGTACCCTGTGTATAGAGAACGTCCTGACTGTGTAGTCCGTCATCTCCTCCTCGGCCACACACTGAACATGGACATCGTCGTAGTTGGAACATGGCTGGCCGAAGTCGGGCCAGTACTTCTCACACTTAGCCTGAAAAGGAAGGGGATATGTTCATGTCAGTATGTTGTTTAAATACTACATCAACACTCACATAGTTTGTCTGTAAATAATCACCAGCTTTGATGGATTTTATTGGTTGGTTGTTTAACGTCGCACTCAGCAATATTCAAGCTCTATGACGGCGGTCTGTAAATAATCGAGTCTGGACCAGACAATTCAGTGATTAATATCATGAGCATCGATCCACGCAATTGGGATCGAAGACGTGTATCAACCAAGTCAGCGGTCCTGACCACCCGCCTTTTACGACAAGCATAGTCGCCTTTTACGGCAAGCATGGGTTACTGAAGACCTTTTCTACCCCGGATCTTCGCGGGTCATCAGCAAATAATGGCATCTAATAGTGAACACATTCATACATGTTTTATTGATATCTATAATAGTATCGTGATAATCCGTGAAACGAAAGCAACATATGATTATAACTTTTTTATTTGCAATTGATAAAATAGCGATAATTGCATTGTTTATTAATACCTTTCTGTTTTCTACGCAATTTGTCAGCATAATTATTTTACTCGCATCTATTTCCCACGTCATTCTCCAGAAGTCTCGTATGACGTCTCCATAAGGTCCTGGGAATATAAAATAATATTTCGAGAAATAAATTGTAGGTTAATAAATAGTTCATGTACTACAAGTGTCAACTGAAACAAACGCGCCATGTAATGTAACAATCAAACAAGAAATATTACCTTGTGTAGCTACAAACTCCTGTGACGCCCCATATCCCTGAAATAAAGAGAAACGGGTAAACCGAAACAGATGTGTGACTCTCTGTTATATATAACCCTCTTCCGTCCTTAAAAACAATCATTGTTAGAGACAACTCACATTAATATTCTCCAAACTTAAAAAATTTACGTAAAGGAAGGTTTCATGTGCAATGCAACTAAATCTCAAGTTTTCAAAATACAGCTTCCTCAAAATAATAAAAGTATGAACGATAAAGGGAAACTGCTTGAAGAATGAAAACTAGCAGCGACAGTTAGACGTTATAATGTATATTACAAAAGATAGTCTATTGCCTTGAAATTACTACAAATTGCTGCAAAATATGTGATGCCTTAAGGAAGAGAATATATGGATGCAAACTTATTTATTATGAAGAACACAAGGTTTTGGAGTATATGCTTACTCCTTCATCAAGAGTAACACCTTTCAAAGACCTGATCTGATGCTTTAAGTATCAACTCATTCGCGATGGACATACGTTTATGTAGCTAGCGTTGATGTAGTCGGATCCAGGGGCGTTGGGGATAGGGGTTAGTTTGACTCTGCAATGATCATCTGAAACAATTATAGCAACATTAATTGTTTAATTATGTCGACATATATCATAAGCATAAATCAAATTATGTTTTCATACTATTTTGGGGGCGGTGGGGGTAGTCTAGTGGTTAAAGTGTTGGCTCGTCACGCTGAAGACCCGGGTTCGATTCCCCGCATGGGCACAATGTGTGAAGCCCATTTTTGGTGTCCCCCGCCGTGAATTTGCAGGAATATTGCTAAAAGCGGCGTAAAACCATACTGACTCACTGACTATTTTGTCGTGGAAGGTACGTGGGGTTTAATGTTCTTGGTCATTCCACTTTACACGTATATTCCTTAACTGTTCGGAGGACAAAGCTAAAACGTCTCACACACAAAGATCCAATGTGAAAGGAAAGCATTCGGTTTAGTCTACGTGTTAATGTTCTGTAATAGCATGATAATTTACAACATAGGTACTTTACAGCAAGCAAACCTCCATCAGAGTACCGAATGGGAATTTGGAGCTGTCACTAAGAAAATTATATGCACTGCAACATTTTTCTAGAAAATATATATTTCTTCTTCGATTTTTCTTTAACTGGCTGGAAGTGAACAGAAATGTCTAAATAAAATGTTACTGATACTTACAGGGTAATATATTGCTATATCTGTTTTTGAAAGCATTTTCTGGTAATTCGGCTTCATGACAGGACCCAAGCTTGCCACGGGGAAGGTCCTTAGGCAGGAAACATGAAAGTGTTATGTTCATTGTGTTTAAATACCAGATTAATGCAAGTGGTAAAACTATGTCAGTATTAGAAACGATGCCTATAATCAGTTTGATAAAAGTTTAAAGTCATCAGTTATTTGTTTTCTGTCTATTTACTGTACAATACGAAAAAGAAATCACTCACAGCACAGTGTGCAGAGAAACCACCAGTCCTCCTCATAATTTCAACATAGGTGCTCAGATTTAGGACGGACACTTCCGTTGACCACGCACTGTCTGGGTGTAACGTGTCAGTCACGTGACATGGGTGAGGGTCAAAACCAAATACAGATCTGCTATCATCCCGCGACAGTGCCGAATGACTTGGCGCTTGAGCTAGTAGAAGGGAAGTTCCATTGCTCTCTTTTATGATATCCGTGGATAACGAGGCATCTTTCCCATTGTTGTTCAGTTGGTCAACGGGGGTCGTATTACCTTGAACATATGACATACTAGTAGACAGGACTATCCAAAATTAATATATATAGATGTCATATGTCATATTATGCCCATTTGCTCATGTATGTTCCCTGCCTTACTGGTACCACCATTTATAACCTGCCTTACTGGTAGCACCATCTGTGTAACCTGCCTTACTGGTACCGCCCATCTGTGTACCCTGCCTTACTGGTACCGCCATCTGTAACCTGCCTTACTGGTACTGCCCATCTGTGTACCCTGCCTTACTGGTACTGCCCATCTGTGTATCCTGCCTTACTGGTACTGCCATCTGTGTAGCCTGCTTTACTTGTACTGCCCATCTGTGTACCCCGCCCTACGTGTACTGCCCATCTGTGTACCCTGCCTTACTGGTAGCACCATAGGTGTACCCCGCCCTACGTGTACTGCCCATCTGTGTACCCTGCCTTACTGGTACTGCCCATCTGTGTAGCCTGCCTTACTGGTACTGCCCATCTGTATACCCTGCCCTACGTGTACTGCCAATCTGTGTACCCTGCCTTACTGGTACTGCCCATCAGTGTAGCCTGCCTTACTGGTACTGCCCATCTGTATACCCTGCCCTACTTGTACTGCCCATCTGTGTAGCCTGCCTTACTGGTACTGCTCATCTGTGTACCCTGCCTTACTGGTACTGCCCACCTGTATACCCTGCTCTACGTGTACTGTCCATCTGTGTAACCTGCCTTACTGGTACTGCTCATCTGTGTACCCTGCCTTACTGGTACTGCCCGTCTGTGTACCCTGCCCTACGTGTACTGCCCATCTGTGTACCCTGCCTTACTGGTACTACCCATCTGTGTACCCTGCCTTACTGGTACTGCCCACCTGTATACCCTGCTCTACGTGTACTGTCCATCTGTGTAACCTGCCTTACTGGTACTGCTCATCTGTGTACCCTGCCTTACTGGTACTGCCCATCTGTGTACTCCGCCCTACGTGTACTGCCCATCTGTGTACCCTGCCTTACTGGTACTGCCCATCTGTATACCCTGCCCTACTTGTACTGCCCATCTGTGTAGCCTGCCTTACTGGTACTGCCCATCTGTGTACCCCGCCCTACGTGTACTGCCCATCTGTGTACCCTGCCTTACTGGTACTGCCCATCTGTATACCCTGCCCTACGTGTACTGCCCATATGTGTACCCTGCCTTACTGGTACTGCCCATCTGTATACCCTGCCCTACGTGTGCTGCCCATATGTGTACCCTGCCTTACTGGTACTGCCCATCTGTATACCCTGCCCTACGTGTACTGCCCATCTGTGTACCCTGCCTTACTGGTACTGCCCATCTGTATACCCTGCCCTACGTATACTGCCCATCTGTGTAGCCTGCCTTACCGGTAGCACCATCTGTGTAGCTTGCCTCACTGGTACGACCTGTTACAAGTCGGTTATCAATAACATTTCAGATATGTTTTTGAGTGTCACCAAAAAGCATTCCTTGGTTCTTCATGTCGAGTAGAATATTTACTTATCTACGCCTCCTAAACGTTACACAATGAAAGTTACAATTATTGTTACAATATCTTGCGAAATTGGCTGTAAGTATATGTCATACTACCTCCAGAAGTAGGGGGCGGTCGGGTAGCCTAGTGGTTAAAGCGTTCGCTCGTCATGCTGAAGACCCGGGTTCGATTCCCGACAAGGGTACAATATGTGAAGCCCATTTCTGGTGTCCCCCGCCGTGATATTGCTGGAATATTGCTAAAAGCGTCGTAAAACCATACTCACTCACTCATGTCGAGTAGAATAATTACTTATCTACGCCTCCTAAACGTTACACAATGAAAGAATTATAATTATTGTTACAATATCTTGCCAAATTGGCTGTAAGTATTTGTCATACTACCTCCAGAAGTAGGCTGATTGGATGGGTAGATCAATTGCATTTTTGTTGTATTGTTTGCAGAATCGTTAAGTAATCCTTGTCTTCCTCTCAAGCAATGCTGTACTGTTCGTCTGAATCAATGCAAACTATGGAACATTAATACATACATTATATATACATATATACATATAACATGTTTCCCGACAGTATGTACCCATTACGGTACAGCAAGTTTGTTACCTTCTATAAATATTCATATAATCAAACAAATAAGTAAAAGCGACAAAACCCTTTCCATATTCAATAGAAATCTCTGTCGATTGTACGATTCCGACTATATCATGAGCATGTGTTTACGAATCACTATCAAATACTATCAAAAACACCAACATGACAAAAATGACATGTTTCGAAATGAACATTGCCCACCTTTTGCGGACAAATAACGTGAGAACCAGCAGCAGAATGGCGATGAGAATACAAGGAATCGCTGACCAAACAACATGGGTGGTATTTTTGCTGTCAACAGTCGGGGCTGTGAATATAGGACATGAAGAGATAAACGGGTGTATACCCTCAATATAGTCGACACTGATATCAGATTTAAATGTAACTCATGAAAGCTTGAAAGTTAGACTCATTGCGATTACGTTTTCCCAAGGTGCTACAACAAGGGCAAACTATTAATCTCAACACAAGCTTCAATTCTTTACAAACGAGGATGCATAACCCCGTCATGTTACTTTGGGAAACCAGACAGTCAGCACTCACATGTCAGACAAAGGCCCGTTCTACAGCGGTTGGGACACTTACTTTCACACTGGTCTCCCACCACTCCATCTTTACACCCCAAAGTACAGGCAGGATTACTTATACCTTGTTCGTTAGTGGTACATTCCATGTCTGTGCAATTGCTACTGCATGTGAGGTTACAGTGTTGACCATAGGAACCATCTATACATCCATCTGCACACGAACCGTTGTCTCTGCTACATTTGTCAGTAGCGCAGTTCGCAGGACATTTAACAGCACATGTGTCTCCATGCCAGTCGGAAACACAACCATAATAACATGTCCCGTTGTTCTGACTGCATGTTCTATTCAGACAATTGTCGCTGCATTTCTCCTGACACTGCGTTTTGAAGTACCCTGGTTTACAGGGACTGCAACTCCCATCTCTACTACATATCTCACTACCACAGTTCCTGGAACACTTCTCCCGGCATTGTTTACCATAATGTCCCTTTACACACGCAATACATGATCCATTCTGGTAGCATGTACCATTTAGGCATTTGTTACTGCAGGATGATTTGCATTTCTTTCCAAACATTCCCTGATTGCATCCATGTGTACATGCTCCTGTTGTGCTGTTGCATGATGTATTAAGACAATTGTTATCACATTGATTGTCACATATTACTCCATAGAAGTGCTCCCTACATCCACAGATACAAGAACCATCTCCACGGGCACAGTTTGAGGCTCCGTCTCCACAGAGAACACAGTGCTCACAGTTGAGGTCACACAGTCTTCCATATCTACCCTCAGTGCAACCATGAACACACTCCCCTGACCACTGATAGCAACTCAGACTCTGGCATGAATCCCCACATTGTTTGTCACATGCTTCTCCCCATCTTCCAGTTACCGGACATGTTCTTGTACATTCATCATGGTCATCTTGACTTTGTCTCTGGCATGCTGTGCAAGAGTCGCCATTCCTGTACATACCTACTGCACAATCTGGAGAAAATAGAAACCATCTTTTTCTATAACAAACATAAGTTATAGATTTATATCTTCATTTCGTAACGCTGTTCATGCAACAGCAAAACAGTTTAAAGCTAAAGATAATATGCATTTTAAATATTTTAGATGTGACCCCGTCTCTTTGAACCGCATTTCAGTTATATCTGAATCGGTACTAGGGTGCTAATAAAGAAAGGATAATAATTGGACAGCATCTGGGATTCGAAACCACGAACAAATGGACTAAAGGACGGACTTCTGCATAGCGAATTGCAGCTTCAAAGACCATTGAGGCACCAGTGCCTCTGTACTTGCAGATAGGGGCAAAGTACGACATGGTAAATGCTACATGCGTGCAGATATAATACTGTGTGCAAACTGGTGTTGTTTAAACATAAAAATCATGTGGGATTTGTACGTTGATCCCAAAGAAATACTTGACTGATTGCCTACGCATGATATCTATCCAAAGGATAGGACATGTTGTGGTGAATACAACATACAATCTCTATATGATAGCGTGGTGTGTCTTGAATAGCATTATATCACAGGAACACAAATCTCACTGTAAATAGAATTGTATGACAATATATAATTGGTTATTGTTGGTGGGGCGATATATATCGTTTAATCAAATCGTACTAGTTTAAACACCTTTATACTGGCTATGTTGTCTTTCATATTTTAATACATTCTATTCAGAAGGATAGATATATAAAGAAAGTTACACAAACCCGTTAAGTTGCAGCGACCGCACGTCCTCCTGCAATTTTCATCGATACCTGGTTGACCACAATTCATCTTCCGACAGGACGCACTTGTATCCCGGCATGTTACGCTATCTGTAAGTCATAACATGGCTAAGACAATACACATCTACCTTAATTTATATATAATTCCTTGCTTTTAAGTAGTTATTCTATCATTGTTGGGGAGGATATCAATGGCCCCATCCTTCATATACTACACAAGGGATGATGCATTTCGATAATTTGTGCACAGTATCTCTCCATTATGTGAGGTCAGAATGTATCGATAGAAAGTGATTAGTTAACTCATTCTGATAAACATTCTAACAACAAGTAGCTGTTCAGTCATGTCAAACATCACTGTGCCCGGACTACCGCGGCGACCAACTATTCTGTTCAATATCGATACGCTGGGAATAATGTCCGCCATGGGAAGATTGACCTGTGACGTAAAACAAAACCACTGATCACTCAAAGGCATGGTATTTCTGCAGGCCAGTGCCATTCATTGCCGGCTATATGTGTTCATATACCGCAAAGGTTACAATCGCCCTTCAATTATCGGTTTCTGTCTATGATCAAGAAGCGTAACGCTTCTTTTTTGTTCGCACATTTCTAAAAGTAGCTTCATTTTTTGTGAAGACACTTTATCAATAACATTTAAAGTCTGATAAATTTGATTATCAATAAGGGGAATAATAACAGTAAACTGTCTTGGCATCATCTGATGTCCTTTGGGTGATGGTAAGTCCCAGAATATTATAACGTAACACAACAGATGATACCTTGAGTGTTTGCTATATACATATACTTCACCACGTACGTCTTTCATAAGTGTGGAAACCGATCTGTCCATCACTCCATTTACTGACTCACCTGTCTGATCTCCAGTTGTGGCTGCTACTAGTATGTACAAGCAGATGATACATCTCAAATCAGTCGTGCTGTCAATCAAACGTGGTGCCTGTAACAAAGACAACAATATGGTTTCGATTGCAAGGATACACATACGTAGTTATAACCATGCATGGGACGAACATGGAATTCTGTGAATCTTTATCAGATATGCATGGAAAAAAGAATAATAAAAAACAATAAACAAGTGAGATCTACACATCATTTACCTTCATGATTTGCGTGTGAGCGGTCGTTCCGATGTACATGAACTGACTTCGCTTTAGTGAACCATACTTTCTATTTCCTAAATCCTATTACAATGGTGTATGGAGAATTTGCGTCACACTGCTTCACCCACTTGGTCAACATCCGAAACACTGAATGCATTTGAATGTACAAGGATTTGATATTTAGTCGCGAAATATGTGTTGGGCAATGTAACTTACCATAGCTTCAATTATCGTTTAGGAAACGTATAGTAATCATTATTTGATATTTTTTATATATGTGTTGTTCTTTTATGGCATGGACATGCATATGTATATCTTTTATTATCCTCATTTTTTATCTATTGTTAAGATATATATCAAACCAGAAATAAAACCATGCACAGCTTTAGGAAATAGAATATGTATTTTGTGACCATGTGCTTGGTGGACTTCGATTATTATGTTTAGTGTTTAGTGTTTCGTACTCATGCTACCTCGGCAGACTGAAGGTATATCTAGAAAATATGTGATGATAGTATTACACGTGAGTGTGTGTCTTGTAATGAAGGTAATTTAAAAAGGTGTTTTGATGACACAAAACTGGCTTCGAAGGCTTCCCTTGGATGACTGGAATATATCTGATGATAGTATCACACGTGTGTGTCTTGTAATGAAGTTAATTTTAAAAAGGTGTACTTATCACCCAAAACTGGCTTCCATACCTTGTGTGAACTTTGCACATCATTATGACGTCATCGGTTATATTCATGTGACAAACAAATGACATTACTAATATTTCTGCCACTGATCATGAAGCTGGTAAGCTGTTTTTCTCACTACAAGCTGTTCATATGATGACACATTATTATATATAACATTTGTGTACTTGCATTTTAGATTTTCTCTTACAGAAAAGGGCGATCGGGTAGCCTAGTGGTTAAAGCGTTTGATCGTCACGCCGAAGACCCGGGTTCGATTCCCGACATGGGTACAATGTGTGAAGCCCATTTCTGGTGTCCCCCGCCGTGATATTGCTGGAATATTGCTAAAAGTGGCGTAAAACCATATTCACTCACTCACTCACTCACTCTTACAGAAAAAGTCTTGTCAGGAAACTGCATAGAAGACCCTTCTTATATGTTCTTTTACAGGTATGACAACGTGAGTCGCCATATTTTGATACAAAGAGAAAATTGTGATTAGACGAAGGTTAATAGCGTTCTGAGATTGTTTGGGATATGATGACATGCATCAACCAATCCTGACCACCCGATCCCGTTTGTAGCGTCTCACGACAAGCATAGTTGTCTCTTTCAGCAAACACGGGTTGCTGAAGACCTATTCTAACCAGGAAATTCACGGGTGAGATTGATTTTGATGCAACAAGGAAGCAGTTGTAAATGATGTCCAACATTAAACCATTAAACTTTCACTGTCTCAGTTCATTTAAACGTTCTCTTCTCTCGATGTAATCAGATACAATGGTACAAACTCTTATGGCGAGACAATAAGGAATATTTGTTTTGTGTAATACCGTTGGCAAGATCGGAAGTTCAAATAATGATGTGTTAAAGTAAGTCGTTATACAGGTCAGTGTCCAATGCGGCCGTGTTATAGATATTGTTTTCGATTTCCTCATCTATATTTATAAATCAATGGATATGTTGTATTACATTTGCTCTGGTTCAATAAAATAAGGATATTTCTCGAAATATGTTGGTTTACACTGTTTTCACACTGAGTGAGTGAGTGAGTTTGGTTTGACGCCGCTTTTAGCAATATTCCAGCAATATCACGGCGGGGGACACCAGAAATGGGCTTCACACATTGTACCCATGTCGGGAATCGAACCCGGGTCTTCGGCGTGACGAGCGAACGCTTTAACCACTATGCTACCCGACCGCCCCGTATTCACACTGCCTTGTGTAAAGTAATGGAAAGCATGAGTTTGAAATGTTAACACGCAGCATGTTACTGATACAGATAAAGGTCCATTGTACGTTTCCGACTATATCATTAGCATGCGTTTATAAATCAGTTAGTAATGACACCATGTGATGACATATGATAGTATACTGACCCATCAGTGGCAACCGTTACAAGCAAGGGCAAGTCAAGTGTCCACCTTAACAGACATAGGAACATATGGTACAAATCAAAATAGGGAATTGCCTCGTTAGCGCATAGCGCAACCTTAGCAGTTAATTATATTTGCGTGTGTGGTGATGGGTTAATCGTAATCTGAACATTTCTTCTATTTATTATTTATTACGTCATAATATCACTTAAAATATAATGTCTTTGTTTATGAGACAAATGTTGTTTCAAATATGTGATATGTCTGTAGCTTACGGATGCCTTTTAGGGCCATTTGTTTTTTATATTTTTTTCTTGAAATTTCAAGTACTAAGTTAAAATTTTAACATACTAAGTTACAATTTCAAGATACTAATTGGAAATTTCAAGATACATTGGTTGAAATTTCAAGTTAATATCTTAATATTTTAACTTAGTATCTTGAAATTTCAACTTACTCAGTTGAAATTTCAAGATACTTACTTGAAATTTTAATGTTATGTTTTCGCCGAGACATATGACAACTGCCCCTGCTGCAAAACAATAAGTTGAACGTTTTTCTTTACCTTGTACACTGCAGACATTATTCAGAATTAACATATCGATTTTAGTTTTGACAAAATCGGTAAATGTGTCACTGGGTTTTCTGGTCCATCACTTGATTGTCTGGTCTGTTTACAGACCGCCGTCGCATGGCAGGGGGGTACTACCGTGCAGTGTATGGCAACAAACACTTACTCCTTTTATGCAAGTTGTGTGAGTGGCGGTGGTACCGGTAGATCAGGTCTTGCTTACACTTTTCGCGAACATCTGGTGTTCCAACTGATTTTCAGGGATCCTTTCATAATTTTTTTACGGCTTATTTTGCCTTTTACGCACAATGGAATTTGTTTCGATGGATACTCGAAACAGTTTATTCTCTGGCGTTGGTGGTGTATATTGTGGAGGTTGTACATGCATATGTAATTCGAGTAATTTCCAACTTATTCATTTACTTCCTCGTATGTGTCTCATTTTACCGTCGAGGCGTAATGTGCATACCGTTGTGTTTAATTTCCGATGTGTGTGCATTAGTTGTATGTAAATTCCTTTTGGTTACATGAGCGGTATAACGTTTCATCGGTTAAAACAGATGAATAGTACAATCCCATTTCATGGATGTATTTACTGATTGAATTAATCAATCTATCAATTCACCATTTCTTTTGATGGTTGTTGTTTAACTCCAACCATTGAATGAAAAAAACATACAAAGGTTAAAAATATAACTATAACCTTTTTCCTGATTTGTCTCTGAGTGACTTGGCCTTTTTGGATACGCCTTGTACGTGTTGAGTAAAGGTGAAAATTTCCTTTCATATATTTGTTTAGAACTTATTAACATGATATCCTTATAACATAACTATAAGCACATGTAATAAGACCGAAGGAAAAGGATGTATTATAAATAATGTTAATATGCTTTATTAACATTAATCAGTGTGCAACCAAATACAAAGAGAAAGTTGGAGTGCATATTGAATCAAATATGTATTTGTTTCTTTCATCAAAACAAAATCTTCGACATTTACATTCGAATTACACAAGCACGACTCTGGGAAAATAGTTACCATATGAGATATCACACATAAATCCGAAAAAATAGGTTGGTTCAGGTGTTTTTTCTTTTCAATCCCACTTGATCAAATAAATTGTCATTTTGACAACTCTCTACATATAAAGGAAAGCAAACGAAGGCCATATACACCATATATATACACACAAGATTAACAATAAACATAATTATTGTTGAAGGTGACAACGACACAACATTTGTAGATGATATAGTAAAATTGCAGTCACACGGGTCAGGGGATTTTCACTGACAGACAAGTTTATCTCATTGACAAGTATGTGATAACGGCGTGTAGCCAGTGTCTGGTGGGGGTGGATTCAGTTGTTCGTAGCCTCTCTCTTCCACAGAGGAGTCGTTATTCATATCCGGAATTACGGCATACCGAGACCCTTCACTGTCACGTGATCCATTGAACTCTTGCAGTGAGATTTCGTCTGGTCTGCTGTCAGGGCTGCTTGGTGATAAATATATACCTCTTTGGAAGACTGGGCACCATGCACACACTCTCTTCCTGAAATACATTTATTCAAGTTAAAATGGTTGGTTGGTTGGTTTGTTGTTTAACGCCGCACTCAGCAATATTCCAGCTATATGACGGCGGTCTGTAAATAATCGAGTCTGGACCAGACAATCCAGTGATTAATATCATGAGCATCGATCCACGCAATTGGGATCGATGAGATGCATCAAACAAGTCAGCGAGCCTGACCACCCGATCCCGTTAGTCGCCTTTTACGACAAGCATAGTCACCTTTTACGGACAGCATGGGTTGCTGAAGACCTATTCTATCCCGGAATCTTCACCGGTAAAAGTGTACCATAATACATATGCAAGGCTTCAGATATATAGAAATCAAGAAGAAAGGATTCCTGTAAATAGTGTAGGGTTTGGAGATTTGATAATGCCAACTACCTTGGACACAAAAGTTTACAACGGCTTTATTATGGATTGTTCCGTTCAGTTTAATTGAATGTGTTATTGTATTGACGTGACTTGGCGTCAGTTCCTTCGTCTGTTTGATAAAGCGTTTACAAAGGCCTCACCTCGCGATTATGACTGCAATGACAAGCAGGAGAAAACCGAGACATGCTGACAAGACGACGATCACCCTGTGAAAGGACTGGACGTAGGACACTGAAAGTATGATTAGATCAACAATAACATTCTAATATTAAATAAACCCACGTGGTCAAGATATCATGACTAAAATCTTTTTTTCTTGAGATGAATTCAGAGCTCAATCTCTCACTCACTCAATATATGTCAATATAAAAAAGTAGCTTTTGCTGGCAGCTTTCGCTTGTCACGCCGAAGACACGGGTTCGATTCCCGACATGGGTACAATGTGTGAAGCCCATTTCTGG